TTTATACTTTGACAGATCTTTTCATTCTAAGAAATGCTCTCGTTTCACTTTTTCGAATTTTTAAATTTTGGCGGGAAAATGACGTCTTCCTTTTGGCGCCAATATTATTTTTAAATTTTGGCGGGAAAATGACGTCTTCCTTTTGGCGCCAATATTATTTTTAAATTTTGGCGGGAAAATGACGTCTTCCTTTTGGCGCCAATATTTTGTTTAAGTGTTAAGACTTCCTTAGTTAATTTTTCAAAAGTTATATGTTGTGTAAACTTCAAAAGGGAAAATATAATCGAATTATCTTTATTCGATCAAGAGTTTAACGGATGGAACGTTCAGATTTCGGCCATTTTGTTACTTAAAATAGCCCAAAATAGCCCAAATCTGAAAATTCCATCCTCTATAACTCTTGATTGAATTAAGATAATTCAATTATTGTTTCGGTTTAGAAGATAATATAGCCTCTTATTTTAGAAAAATTAACAAAGGAAGTCTTAACACTTAAACAAAATATTGGCGCCAAACGATGACGTCATTTTCCCGCCAAAATTTGAGAAATTCGAAAAAGCGAAACGAGTCTGTCTGTCAAAGTATAAAATATAAGATCAATTCGTCAAAGCACACAAAATTACACTTAAGTGAGCGTTTTCGAGGCAATAAATCCACACCGTAAACTCGCAGACTCGCAACTCGCAGACTCGCAACTCGCAGACTCGCAACTCGCAGACTCGCAACTCGCAGACTCGCAACTCGCAGACTCGCAGACTCGCAACTCGCAACTCGCAGACTCGCAGACTCGCAATATAGCCGACCTCCACTCAGACGATATTTCGTCCGAAATTTTTACGTGCTGACGTGAAAATACGCCATCATATGACGCCATCCTGGAGTGCACACGGAAGTTTTTTATAGGTACAAACATAGGTACAAAGTGCCGTGTGCACTCCAGGATGGCGTCATAGCACGTAAAAAATTTCGGACGTTTTTCGCCAACCAAAACACATAGGAGTGACACTTCTGGTCTAGTATCTATCCTGTGATAAAAGCATGCGCGTGACGTCACTGAGCACATGTTAGGAGAATTTTAAAGTCGATCTTTTCAGTAAAATTGTTTACTAGCCTATGTAATATCTTAAAAGAAATAGAGAACGAGTCACTTGCATTTATTGCGTGATAATGCACTCGGGTAATGCTTGAAAAAAACATTGAGAAGCGTGTAAAACACTCGGCTACGCCTCGTGTTTTATACGCTTCTCTCGTATTCTCCCAACATTCCCCGCGTGCATTATCACGCAATAAATGCACGCGACTCGTTTTCTATTTCTTAATTTATTTAAAATTGTTGAAGAATACGAATGTTCTCATCAAGACATACTATTTATAACATTAGTGTCTATGTTGTATCGGGTATACAAACTCTCGCCTTTGGCTCGAGTCTGCATTATATCCGATAAAACACGGCCGCTCATGTTGTAAATAGTACTTATTGGCTGAGGTAACCTTGTATTGAGGGAATTAATTTTCCTCAGTACCAATTAATCCTCAGTACCAATTTCTGGAAATTATTAAAAAAGTATATAAAGTAAAAACGTCCCTTACAAATGAATAAGAAAATGCTAAACACTTGCAGCAGTACTTCTGTTACAACCAAGCTAGAGGGTTGGTATATCGTTACATTTTATTGTAAACGTTAACTTGTAGAAAATAATTCAGGTAAGGATGACTTTATTTCCTTCTGATGATGCATGTAGGCATTTATATATTTAGATCTGCTGCTTAGTGCTCGATAGGCTATATAGAGGTATTTAAACAATATGATTTTATGAATTTATCAGCAGTTTTAATAGCCGACTGATCATCGCCTTATTTATAGAAGCTGCGGGGTCAAAATCTACTTTTAGTTTATTTGTTTAAAAGTGTGGCGATGTGCCAAGGCCCAAGGCGATGAGTTTATAGTGTTCATTCTAGATGTTTATAGCAATGTGCTTTCAGCACGTTTTAACTATAACCAAACGCGGAATGTTGTGCATGCACGGCTTAATAATCAGACTTAAAAAGATATTAAGTGCACTGTGCACGATTCAGCAAAAAAACTACATTATTTTCAGAGATAGTTTATAGTTCACTGTAAACGAAAGGTTGTTCAAGCTGCAATAATAATTTTCTTGAACTGCAAGATCTTCTCTACAATATTTGAGTTCTGTTAACCAGCATTTGAACTTTCATTTAGCCCGGCTAGTGACTTATTTCTATACATCAAAATCATCCCGCCTTCCATGTTTGAATAATCATACCCATCTCTTCTGTTTGCCAATAAAAGTTGAAGTCTTCCCTGCCTAAAATCCTAACCCCAGTAAAAAATGCCTATGGTTGCTTTAAAGCACATTTGAACTTGAATTTGCGCTCAAAGCAACACTCATGACCGATGACAACAATACAACATTAGGCGACTTAAAACTGCGTTTTTGTGGTTGTAACTTTTCTTCAAACCTCATCCTAAAATACGTGAAATAGCGTTTTAATAAATCTAGAAATCGCTCGCTTTCGAAATTCACAAAAATTTTGCCCTCCCTCCCTCCGAAAGTTTAGACCACTGCAAAAGTTCTCAAAAACTGAACGTTTATTTATACTCTTGCAATACTATCCCTGTCTTACCGTCTATGCGCTTTATTAAAATGGTTGGCTTTTCTTATCAAACACAAATACTACAAAAATCGGTCCCAGAACATAGAACACCCCCCAAATTTCTTTCGAATGTGCGCCCCTGGCTACAGGTTGTATAAAAAAGTAGACAATTTTGAAGCAGCTCTCAATTTCACAAATCCGTTCATTTTTTGAAATTTTTGATAAATATAAATTATAATGTAGAATAAACAAGTATTTTGTAAAGATAAATTTTCCAGAGCAGGCGGGATATATTGGCAGCATTAAAAATAGCTTGCGCGCGAAATGTAAAAGTTAAAAACGTATTTTGAGTTCATGGGCGAGAAATCTGTTATGTTTTTTATCAATGCATGGTCCAAATATCAGAAAATTTACTAAATTTTAAAGGTGCCCTACAGTCCGTATGTAAACAAAGCCTTTTTTACATTTTTGTGTCCAAAATATTGAGCTTGATTTGACAACTATTTATATTTTCAAGCTTCTGGAGTATAATAAATAATCAAGAAACAACAATCGGGCTTTTCAAGAACCCAAAACATAGTTAAACTGTTTGTATCGTAAAAAGTGGGCTCCTTTGTGCACATGCGCAGATCGGACTGTAGAGCACCTTTAAGTTATTTAATTAGCTGCTGAAACTTTCATTTTTTTGCACCAATGCCCATCACGCATGCTTTATTCTAATTATTCATGCATTTACCTAATAATTATTATTGTAAAAGAAGTAAATAACAATATGAAAATTAGGTAAGAGTTGCTAAAAAAGACACCACCCCTGCTTAACACCGCGGAAAAACGTCTGCGCATGCGTCAACCTTACCTGTAATAGTATTGCGAACTTGATGAGAAGCTGTTCCGAACGTTTCCGAAGGCTCAAAATGGCGGTAAAAAGGAGTGACTTCATTGTGCGTCTTTACAGCCAGATTTCGAGCGCAAAAATAAACATGTCATTCTAAAAACTAGGAATAAATACAGCCAGAAGGTTCAAGAAATTGTATTGTACAAGAACATGAACTAAAGGTGATTGTTGACAAATTTATCGTCTGAAACATTTTGTTTATCAACTAAGCAACGAGAATTTCCGAATTTTCGTTTGAGATACATTCTCCTAAAAAAAACTGTGTCGCCAAATATAAAAAATTTTCGTGTTCACAATAATTAAACTTTAGGATTTATTCTACAATTTGAGTGAGTTAAGAAGCTTAACTTTTCGAGAGTTTTCTTAACTTTTGAGTTTGAATTTTTGTTTTGAATAATTTTGCAAAAATGTTCGAAGTCGTGTCCGTTAAATTCAACAATTTTTTACATGAATTATATTTCATTCCATACTTTAAATGCCAGGACGCTTTCAATTAATGTCTAGTCTACCCATTTGCTATATTTTCTCGTTTGTTTTACTAATTTTTGACCAATTAATAAGCATGTTTTTGTTTTAGAAATTGATATTCAAATTCCCCGCCATATTTTCATAATTTGGTGCATGCGCAGACGTTTTTCCGCGGTGTTCCCCTGCTCTGGAAAATTTATCTTCACGAAAAACGTTTGTTTTGATGTAGATTGCGCAATGTCGGAAATTCAGTCCACTGGAAACTTTGCCCGGGGTGATGGAATTCAGATAACTTTGTGATTGTGTTGTGTTGTGTTGTGTTGTGTTGTGTTGTGTTGTGTTGTGTTGTGAAGACCCGTTTCCAACAGTTTATTCTACACTATAAGTTCCCAAACAATCTAAATTTATCAAAAATTTCATGAAATGCGGATTTGTGAAATTGAAACCTGTTTCAAGATTGTCTACTTTTTTTTATGCACCCTGCAGCTACATGCCGGCCTTTTTGTAAGGAGTGAATTGACAATAATGCATGGCTATAAAGATTCGAAAAACTCTTCAATATTTGGTAACCACCTTGCCGCCATTTTAAGGTGCAATTGCATAAACTGTCCTTGCATAATTATGCAGTCGTTGAATAAATAACTACATAATCATACATTCATTGAATACATTATGACCTAATTAGCATGTTCGAATTGGTATTGTGTTTTGTACATTGTTTTGCACGCACGAGAATATCAATTCCATTTTGACAATTTCCTTGTAGAGAAATTTCACTTTCCAAAGCGGAAGTGAATAAAAATGGACTTAATATTATTTTGTAAAATGGACTTGGTATTTGTGAAATGGACTTGGTATTTGTGAAATGGACTTGATATTTGTGAAATGGACTTGGTATTTGTACAATGGACTTGGTATTTGTACAATGGACTTGGTATTTGAGAAAATGGACTTGGTATTTGTACAATGGACTTGGTATTTGAGAAAATGGACTTGGTATTTGTAAAATGGACTTGGTATTTGAGAAAATGGACTAGGTGTTTGTAAAATGGACTTGGTATTTGAAAAAATGGACTTGGTATTTCATTGTTCGTAATTTTGTCCGCTTTGGGCAAGCATAGATTCGGCTGGATATCATCTTTAAGCTGGTTAAAAATATAAATTTTTGAAAAAAATAATGCCAAAAGTCAAAACTAAAAGATCGAAGATAAAAACAAAAAAATAAATTTTTGGAAAAATCTGATTTAAAAGCAAAAACTCTAGGTTATAGAAGTAAACTCAATAAGCACTTGTTTTGTCTAAAAAATATTAAATATATAAAAATTTTGAATTTTAGCCGTGTTCGAAGGCGAAGTACTGATTAAAAAGACGAGCAGCAGTGTTTTCTCACGTTTCGGCCAAGTTTTACGGATTTCCAAACTAATTGTCAAAATATTGCCATACTGCAGAAGTTGTCTACGTAATAAAACAGTTATTCTACTCACTCTCGTCGTATATGACTGATAGCCAACTCGGTGCTACCCTATCCACATGCATTGATCGTCAGCTAGCGTCTCATATACGACTCGAGTTCGCAGAATAACTGTTTAAATAGCATCGTTTTGAGTGCAATTTTATGAGGTCCCGGTTCCCAGCGGGCAAAATGACGTTTATTCAACGTTGAATCAACGTTGGAAATGACCTTCCAGACGTTGGATAGACGTTGAAAAAGGATTGATAATGCAA